GCCCCTCCCCCCAGGTCCCTCCTCGACCCCCCCCTCGGCCCCCCCGCCACCCCCGGTCCCCCCTCGGCCCCCCTCGGCCCCCCTCGCCCCCACTCGCTCCCCTGCCCCCCCCTCACCCCCCCACTATCGGCCCCCCAAACCCAACCACCCTCCAAATCGCGTTCAACCGTGCCGAGCACGATTCGGTACACGTGTATCCATGGGATTAAGAATCAATTTTAATAAACCAACGGATGAATTGTCACACGCTTGTACATAACGTATTTTTTATGAGTGCTAAATATGATTCGAATAGTCATTCTGTGGGGGGGTTCCGCCCGCACCACCCCCCCCCCCCCCGCCTCGACAATGTTAGCACAATTGTGTTTGGTGTTGCGTTATGAGACGCCGCAACAATTCCAGTGAGATATCCCGCAGAGCACAGCCCGTGGAAGCGGATATTACAGAGCTACCTCAGAGATCCTTTCAAGTTACCTCTTACCCACACTATGGGGCGGCACTTTTCACATCCACCTTCGCTGGACGAAAATGTTCGTTGCATGACAGTGAAATATAATGTAATGGCTGTTTTGTGCAGTCATTGGGGCCGAGGCGATGACAACCAACTACATCTGGGGTGAATGTAATTGGCGTCTTTATTCACTTTTGTAAGGACACGTTTTAATGCCCTGGGAAGTTTGTTCGTCACAAGCCAATCAAACTGAAATGTTTAATTATCAGAGCTGGTAATAAAAAAATAAAAAAATAAAAATGTTTTAACACTTATAGAAGAATATTGTTTTTGATGACGAAAAGATGGATAATACACTGTAATATGATAACAAATGTATGTTAATAACTTTAAAGAGTCTCCACTTGTTCGCGATCGTTGTCAACACACGCCTGGAATCTTCTCCAGGTGGTCTGTGGTATTTTTGCAAATTCTCCGGAATGTTAACATTTTTTTGAAGCACGCTGTATATATAGACGCACTGTAAATTATTTCTTTGTACACTCGGTGGTGACCTAAATTTGATACGCTGGGGATTTTTTCCTTTTGCCCAGTTATTGGTGACTGGGCTGAGACTATCAACTCACTCCACTTGTGAATCCGGTTTAACTAAATGCAGCTGCTGCCTGCATCCGAATCTAAGATCTGCGGCCCGACCTCTGGGCCACCCGGCCATCCTTCTAGCCATCATTTGGGATGGTGTGCCCTCACTGACAGATGCTGCCGTGGTATGATGGTTATTGCGGTGGACTTGCAAGCCAGAGGTTGCCGGGTTGAAACACCGGGCGAGTTGCTTAAACCCCTTCCCTCTCCTCTATCCACCCAACGGCATGAACGCGTACTTCCACGATGGATCGCGTGCGGTGGGGTAAAGCATCGGTACTCCCACCTCTTGCACGACTTTTCTCGACAGCGTGGAAGAGTAGGTCAAAAATTTCCCTTAGAGGGCCTTTTTGGAGGCCCTTCTGCTAGCAAGTGGCCTGAACTAGCAATTGCGGGAATGCGCCTTGACCTTTAACCTTCGTTGAGGATGTGCGAGTGAGCGCGCGTGTGGTGTGATCGCGACGCTGGCAAGTTCTTGCACGGGACTGATTATTAATTTCCGAACATTTTCCTCCTCCTCTGCCTCCTCCTCCTCCTCCTCCTCCTCCTCCGTCTCCTCCTCTACTATTTTGTATCGCTGAAAACACGCGACCAATTAATGCGACTATTTCAGCGCTTGTAGCAACAGTGCAAAACAAGGTGTTTGTTCGCACACAAAATATAATCATTTATACAAATATATAACCTTATATAAATGGAGAGAAAAAAAAACGAAAAAAACTGTATTGCCGGCCCGCCCGGCTTATCTTGCCTTGAAGGCAGCGACTGTGTCTGGTGCAGTATTGGCGGCACCGCAAACACCCCACAACCCCCTTTGCCAAAGATAAGCGGGCTGCGTCTGCCATGCCGCGATAAGAATGGCATTATTCTGCAGGCGATTTGATCCGTCCCTTCTTGTTGGCCTCAGCCTATTTTTCCGTCGGCCAGTTTTCTTTCTCTCCCGCATAACCGCTGTCAGGTTTTGCACCGCCTCCCAGGGAAATAAGCACACGCGGATGCCACAGCAGTGGGGGGATTTTTTTTTGGGGGGCCAAGTGAGCTCAACTGCTCGGGGTGAGGATTAAAAAAAAAACATTTTTATTTCTTTCTAAAATTCAACCTCCGCGATTTGTTTTAGGCGATCGTCTCTCAGAGACAGCGCTTCATTTCGCAGTGAATATTTTCCCGTGGTGCTCGTAGACTGGATGTGTGTGTCACGTGACTCATTAGTAGCCACGCGTAGCCGTAGCGATAAGAGGCATACTAAATGCAGTGTGCCGGGCGGGTTAATATTGTCCGGTGCTTTGGTAAGGCTGGACTAGGTGTCACGTTACTATTAGTAACCATGCACAGCCGTAGCAACGAGAGGTATATTGGATGTGGTGTGCCGGCCGGATTATATTGTCCGGTGCGTTAGTAATGCTCTAGCAGGTGTCACGTGACCATCAATAACCACGCACAGCCATAGCGACGAGAGGCATACTGGATGCGGTGTGCCGGGTGCCGAAATGTTTTCCGGGTCGGTGAGCCGGGACGCGAACCCAGGCGAAATGCAGCTCTGGCCAGGACGTAAACGGCAGGAAAACGTCGTGACCGTGAGTCCCATACCGGTGAAGCAACGTGGACACCAGCACATTTGCGTAATAGGTCGCAGAGAAAGCACAACAATCGCCAAATACAGGAAGTGGGCCCAGAGTAGGTAGGAATGGATCACCGAGTCTCAAGACTGGCAAGGAGTTATACAACCTGTAAAAAAAATATGTATATATTTCTAAACTTTACGAATAAGCATCAATTGTTTTGAAGGTAGACAATAGCAATAAAAATAATGGTGGGGGGGGTGGGGTTCTGCTACATTGAGTTTGTTTGTTTGCTATATATTTGCACGTGATAATACGTCACTTCATTGAACTATCATTTGTGGCTAGGTTGCTTCTGAAAAAGAGCTACATAGCTCAGTGGGCCTTACCTGTTGTTTTTACATTGGGAGGATGTTTGGCCAATTGTATTTTAATGAGAGCTTTGGAGGAAAGTGGAGAACCCGCGGGAAACCCCGCCACTCATGCGATGGGATGGCAGTCGAAGGTCCAAACAGTCGGGTTAATTAACAAACCACTTGCCGTACTGCCATCTGGTAGTCACCTCTTAAATGAGTGTGAGCCATTAACCCTTCGTCTGCAAAATAAATAACAAATATTTCATTTGGTGATACTTGCATTGGCTGTGGTGCACAAGAACAGACTACAACAAAACTAAACTAAACACGTTCAGTAATAACACCGTGCGTGGCCTTCAAAAAAACGTAATAAGGACGACGTTTCGGGCAATGGCCCTTCTTCACACCACACAGAGATAGGCCAGAGAGTCGACAAGCGTTGGAGATAAAGTGCTCGATCGTAGGAGTGTACCGCTGCCGCTCTCTTTTTAATATATATTCTTTGTCGTCGACATAAGATAAACATACCCGTCGCAAAGACGCGCGCAGAGAGGCGAGGCGAACACGCGACCGACGTGCAAGCGCATGACCGTGGTGATGCTCGGCCACTGCACTGCCCCTCTTCGTGGAGGGAGGAGTGAGATAACCCCGTAATAAGCGTGGCCAGGGTGAGGAACGAGGAAAAAATATTTCGCGGTGTTCCGGCGCAGCCCCGATGTGGAGTAACAACCACACCTCCGATGTATCACGGTTGGCGACGTACGGAGCGAAAGAAGTTTAACAGACAGACATACGTACAACGGTTGTATTTTTTTGGGGGCGAAATAAAGTGGAAACCATGAAAGGCAGTCGCATAATATAACAAAACGAGCGAGGTAAAAAATATTAATCCTTTCCGTGAATCTCTCTACCTCCACACCACCCCCCTCCACCGCCCTTTCTTATAAAGTTTCTCAGCCCGTGTCATTTAACCTTTTTAAAATGTTCACAAAAGAAATATTTCCTCGCCATGAACACACGTGAGTGTGTGGGTGAGTGTGTGTGCATGGGAGGCGGTGGAGGGGCCTTAACCGTGAGCGCCGCCCGCGTGCAGGAGAAGGAGGAGGCGTCCGTGTTTTCGATGATGTCCTGAGCAAACCATTTGGCCTTTTTTTCTGGACGGGAGAAGGCCTCCTTTTGTATCCGTCGGCCTCCCAGACCTCGACGACGCAGCCTGTTTTCCTTATGCCCCGTAGTAACCAACGGCCGCCTGGCACTTGAGTTGACAAAAGAATCGCTGTTGCCTTCCAAATCTTGTGTTAGCCCCCGGTCGCACTGGGAAACCATTAGCAAAGAAAATAAATTCATTTGCCCGTCCCGTGGCCACAAACCCATTTTGTTCACCACCGCCGCCACGGCAGTGTACACTGAGAGCACACTTAAATAAATGTTGCCATAAATTCTGCTGCTGAAAAGGTTAACGCTTTGTTTTATGATTCGACCGAGCCCTTTGTTTGTTTTTGTTTTCTGCTTTGCTTGCATGCTTTCGTTCTGGCTGCCTTATATGTGTAAAAAAAAAAACCATTATTAAATGCTCTTTTAATGAATTGGTGGGAGGGTGAACTGGCCAGGTTGCTCCGCAGTTACAGCAAGCGGCACCCGCGTCCGGAAGGTTGAAATGTTCGAATCCTGCTTGGCAGTTGCCTCAGCCCATCATCCCTCTAGGGTGGATAAAATAGGTGCTACTCTGTGGGGAAGTCAACAGTGGTTGTTCTTTGAATAGAAACACCATAGGAATGTGGAATTTCAACCGCTGGCTCAGAATTGTAAACAGGAGATGAGCACCTGCTCAAAGCTCATTTGAGCAGGAAAAAGCAATCGCTATAGAATTAATTGAAAAAAAATATTGAGCTAATGATTGTGAGGCTCTCTCACACACACACACACACAATGACCTCTGCACATGATCTGATCCTGCATGCGTCCCCCCCCCCACAACCTCCTCCTCCACAGCGCTGGATCGCAGGCTTGCGACGCATCGCCGCTCCTGCGCCCGGCGGATTTTAAATTGACCGGCGGCCGAGGTGCCGAGATTAATAACGAAGACGGAGCGAGACGGAGCGAGCGTGGAGAAGTTTCCGTCGCCGGGCGTCTTCGAGCAATCTTGCTTCATTACGTGAGATGGATGGCCTTGGCTGCCGGTTTGCCCGTGTCATCGTGACTCTCTCCTCAATGTCCTCGCGTCACGGTGACTTGCAGGGCACTCAACTGGTTCATTCGTTGCTGCTGTGGCTTCAAGCCAACGTTGCCACCGCCACCACCACTGACGGTCGCCACGTCTACTACCATCACCACCACGGCCATCTCAACCGCTGCTACCAACACAAAGACAAAGATCCCCCGTAGAGCGTTAATATAACGTTTGGGGCAAGTGCTGTTAGCGAGCACCTATGAAGGCCAGCACGGCACACGAAGGGGTTGGTGGCCAGCACCACGCCTGGCCTCCTTTGCCTCCTCCGTGGTGATGTTTACACATGGCACCAGGTACTCGTTTGAGGCTGAGTGGACCTAGGGGAGGCCCAGGACTATTTCAGAAAATCGTCACTGGTGCTGGCCGTGAGCGGGAATCGAACTCGGGTCACTGGGTTAAGTAGCGCAGTGCACTAAGCGCTGCACCACCGCTCCACCACCACCACTGAGTTGTCTGGATGCGCTCGGGCTGCAGATGCGATTACACCGAGATCCCAATCGCGTGACACTCAGGTTGGATGGCGCGGCACAATTACCGCTCGCACTCACTTCATTTGCAGTTATGGAAATTGGGTTTGTTACATAAACACAGATGCTTGCTCTCATTACGAAGACCCAACAAAAAAAATATAATTACTTTCTTGGGGAGGCTGAAGAATGAAAGCGAGAGAGTGTGTCTGCGCGCGTGTGTTGTGCATGTGTGTGTGTGTGTTAGTTGGCGCGTTTTAGCGTGTCCATGGGGAGAAAAAGGCGGTCGGGCGTGAGTCGTGCCGGCCTTCATAGGTCGTTGCTAAATGCACTTGCCCCAGAATTTTGCTGTAACGGCAATATAAAAATGATATTACGGTGTTTTTGTTGTTAGATCGCATAAATATAAATGTGTCGTTAAACCCGCCACCACCCGACACAGCCAGTTAGTAAGGTTTGTCACGTGAACATAACGTGGCCAATTCGTTACAAGTACAGCACACCGGTTGTGTGTTGGAGAGCCAATCACACAGAGCACCACAAGAAGGGCTCACAAGTGATGTCATCACATCTATCCCTCTATTTAAGGAACTAAACAGGAGGACTTCTCCACAAATGTGGCTGTCACCTGATGATGCCGGTTATCATTAATGGCGAAACGTCGTGCTCAGATTGTAAATGCTGTCGATCTGCTCTCCAACACACCGGTGTGCTGTGTACTAGTAACGAAATGTCATGTTCTGCTTCTGTGACAATCCTTACTAATTGGCTCTGTCGGGTGGTGGCCGGTTTAACGATATATTTATATTTACGATGTTAGCGAATAGCACTTGCCCGAACAATCTGTACAGCTACACGGGGGACCTTTGTATTTGTTTGTTCCTGTTGATGTGATGTGATGTGTACAGGACGGTATGCGGTGATGTGTGTGAGCAGCACTTGGCTACGCACAACAACCTTAATTAGCAGCTGAACATGGTCAGGGCCACCTTTAGGTCAACTCAGACTAAAATTAAATGCACACTTGGCACAGTAGCATGCAAACAGCCGAATGCCAATTGCTGAGCAGACAAAGGGAGATTGAAATGGTTCTGGACCCTTTGCCCACCGTATACTTAGTTGATCATAATAGGCACTCACAAACATCGCTCGCCCTAATAGTGTACGCAGAGTAAACGGGGTCGTTGTAGAATCATGCCTGCCATTGAGTTTGTATGCATCTATGTAATTTCATGAGTGTGTGGTTCTGTGTGTGTGGTTGATTGTGCAAGTTAGGGTCTGTACACATAAGCGTTGCTCCGTGTGTGACTATATGTGTGTTGGTCGGTGGCGAGTGGTCGTGTGGCGGTTAGCGCTACGCTGCGCTACGAACCCGGCGACCTGTGTTCGATTCCCGCTCACGGCAAACACCGGTGACGATTATCTGAACCGGTTCTGGGCCTCCCCTAGGTCGACTCAGCCTCAAATGAGTACTTGGTGCGGTGCGTTAAACATCGCCACTAGGGAGACAAAGGCAGCCAGGCGTGGTGTTGGCTACCCACCCCCTCGTGTGCAGTGCTGGCCTTCACAGGTGCTCGCTAACAGCACTTGCCCCAACAGTCTGTTAAGGCTATACGGGGGATATTTTTTATTGTCTTGTTGGTCGATGCCAACAGTAGGGGGTACAGGTGGTGCATCTCACTCAGTCGACCCATGACACCACCTGGGTCTGTCCCGTGACCTCCTGCCAGCGAGCATTCGACACTTCACGGGACCTTAACGTGCACATAGCCTGGCACAAGCACCGTGGTGACGTCACCGCCACTTAGTGACGAATGGCGGTTGGTGCTGTTCGTCGATTGTGGGGAGCAGCAGTGTAGCGGTTAGGGCACTGCAATGCAGTCCCGGCGACCCGAGTTCAATTCGCGCTCACGACCAATGACAGTGGTGAACATTTGAACTGGTCCTGGGCCTCCCATAGGTCATAGTTCATAGTTCCATTTATTTGGTGTAGCCCTGTGAGCCATTCGGCTCTTGAATCGGGTGCAACCGCAACAAACAAAAAAACAAAAACATGAACAAGAAAACATCTTAAAGTGATTATGTGACTGTGCAAACAGAAAATCCAGGGAAAAAAAAACATCAAAATATTCCTGAAATAGCACCGTACACCAACGTTGTGTGCAAAAATCCCAGTGGGATGCAAGTCAAACAACAACAACAACAACCACCACAAGACAACTAAGATTTAGACCATCAGTCTAACTCCGTACTACAATAAACAAAAACATGGCCAAACCAAAAAAAACGTTTTCGAAATTACCAAAATAAAAGCCATAAATGCAATGTAACAGTGATCATAGGGACTGTGGCCAAATTTTTAACAATAAACTACATAAATAAATTATAACACCAAACCCTAGAGCCATATTTTAGGCCACTGAATAGCAGTGGCAGCTAGGGGTGTACAACTCCTCTAGAGCAGTTTTGAGTGAAGATCTCATAGGTAGTGATTCAAGTTGCAGTTTATTGGCAATAGCATTCCAGACCCTCGTGGCATCAATAGCAAAGGCCCTTCCTCCGGTTTTTGTACGGCAATAGGGAATGTGAAGCTGGTAAATGAGCGAAGATCTGAGGTCAAATTTGTTCTTTGAAACAGAGAGGAGATCCAATAGGTAGTCTGCGGATTTTTTTGTAAGTACATCGTGAATAAATAAGATCTGGTGCACAAGCCGTCGAACATTAAGAGATGTTAAGTTTGACCCAATGTAGAGATCACAGTGGTGAGTCCTATATGGGCAGTTCAATGCAAATCTTAAGGCCGAGTGATAGATGGAATCAAGCTTCTTCAGTACAGTACTTGGGGCTGATTTATACACGATGTCACAGTAGTCAAGTAGAGGCAGTATGGTAGCTTTTATCAATTCCAAACGGAACATTGGGGGGGAAGCAGTGCTTGTCAAGTCCACCTCAAATGATTGCCTGGTGTGGTGTGTAAACATCAGCATTGGGGAGACAAAGGCGGCCGGGCGTGGTGTTGGGCACCCCTTCGTGTGCCGTGCCGGCCTTCAAAGGTGCTCGCTACCAGCAATTGCCCCAACAGTCTTAAAGGATATACAGGGGATCTATATCTTGTGTCTTGTTTGTAAGGGTATGTTCATATGTGCGTATGTGTGTTGGTGTGTATTTGTTATGATGTATGATTACGTGTGTGCACGATTGAGTGTGTGTATTCATCTGTGTGTTTGCGAAGCGATGGAGCAGTGGATGGTACCCCGAGTTCGATTCCGGGCTAGGGCTAACATCGGTGCAATTAGTTTCAGAACATGTTCTTGTCCTCCTCTAGGTTGACTCAGACTTAAATCGTGTGGTGTATGTAAACCACATTCAAATACTGCATGAGGTGCGGGCGATGAATTGATGAGGGCGTAACGTTGTGCTTTAGTAATCTTTGTGCTTTTGTTGTTGCATAATTGCACGTAAATCCGTTGCTTCAACACAGTGCGAAGTCGTCTTCGCTGACCATCGTTGATTCAGTAATTGTAATAATTTAGACTTTGCAATGCGCACATGTTTTATTCGCTCTCAGACATACAGACACAGAGAGAGCAAGAACGATTCAGAAAACCACAGAAAAGCGGGAAAGATGGCCAGAGTCGGTGGTGCCAACAACAATTGCCCAAGTTCTGCGGTCCTATATTGATAATAAGCAGCTGTTTTGTTTGTTTGTTCCCCAGGAACCCCCCCCCCCCCGCCCCAACCCAAGAAGCCACACAGCTGCCCCACGACAATCTCTCTCTTAAAACAAAAAGTACGGCCGCAACAACTTCTTCTTACCGCCCACGTGGCATTCCCTCGGGCCTTCCTCCCCGCGTTGTATGGCTTTTTATTCCTACGTGATCGTAACGCACGCTGAGCCTCATGTAGGGAGGAAAGCCATGCAACGACGGGTGGACTTGCAGCAGCGGTGGCGGCAGAAGCGACGGTGCCTGGAACGTCAGCGGATTTTTAAACGAAGAGAGAGAATAAAACGAGACGGAGCAACCTCCTCCCCGCCGCTCACTCCAGCTGCCTCCATCGCCTCCCGCCCACTCCTCTCCGCCGATCTCCTGTCCAATAATCAGGCTTCCTATTCAAGCCAGCAGCGGGCCGCTCAATTAATGCGAATCCAAATCTGTTCCTCCCGCTGCTCGCCTATAATGTGCAACCCTGAAAGGCACTTTGCCCTCAGTTTTGTTAATTTAAAAATGAGATAAACGGATTTTTTTTTAATATATATTTACAACTAGTCACAGGTATAATGCCCTAATATATGACTGGCATTAGTAAGTCATATCTGCCAGAATTGACTCTTTCATCGTTGCAAATTGAAAGTCATTGTTGCTGAACACCGGCACAAAGGTCCAAAACACCAAGTGGCCAGCAACAAACGGCACTCTCGTTGGTGTTCACGACAAGAGTTCATATCTCTCTTGGAGTACTGCTTTGCGGAACACCAAACAATGGCTGCATGGGGTGTGGGTGGCCAACACCGCACCGGACCGCTTTATGTCTCCCTCGTGCCAATGCTTACACACATGCACCCGGTGTTCATTTGTGGCCGAGTCGAACCTAGGGGAGGCCCAGGACCGCTTCAAATAATCGTCACTGGTGTTGGCCGTGAGCGGGAATCGAACTCGGGTCGCCAGGTTCAAAGTGCAG